TCCTTTTTGTTGTTTCCTGAACCCTTACTTTAAAAAAAAAAAAAAAAAAGCATATCTCTGGGAGTAAGCAGATCAGGAGTTTTGATTTATCTACATATACGGAAAAAGGCCGTCCCCCCTAAAGATGAACACCAACAATATATTTTACATGGGAAAAAAAAAAAAACACCCCGCACAAATTCCCTTTAACTAAGACCTACTTACTATAACAAAACATCAGATATTAACCCTTTACTAATCAATTCAGAATAAAAACAATTCAAGTGAATTCATTTTCTGCAATACTTTCACTGGCTTCTAGGGAAGAAAAGCCTTAATCCATGAATACAGAGAGAAAGAAGATGAATAAGCATGCCATGATCTAGAACCTTCCTGTCATCATGGATTTAGGATTAGCCTAAGGCTCAGGTTCGTAAAAGCTCATTTAAAGTAATCAGTGCAAAGTCATCCACGTAGCAGAGCACAACATGAATGCAAAGAAAATCATAGCCGATATCAAAACACTCTGCTAACCACAAATAACTTTTACCAGTGGCAAAATGTTAATGCGTCATTAAACCTATAATGTAAGCAACCATCTACAGCTTACATGAAATAAATGTCTAAAATACAGTTGTGTTGGTGCCAAATACAGAAATAAAGTGGTCACATGTGATACTTGAACCCTGCTGAACTGTAAGATTTTGGCAGGAAAAGGGGGGGGGGGGGGGGTTAAATGTCCCAAACACACAGTCAGAGCCAATTGGCACGGTTGCGATCATATGTTAAAATACGCAAACGATCACATGGGGAAAGGAAGCATATGCCATTCAACATGCTGGTGCTGCCCCTCAAACGGACAAAAAAAAACCCGTCACGTAGGGCGGCTTCCAGTGGTGACGTGAGAAGGTGCGTGGCATTCTGTACGTATACTTACAGAGCGTGCGCACAACACTGTACTGCATATGGCAGCATTACAATTTTAAAATGGCACTAAACTCAGGAGTTAAATCTAAATACATTCAAGTACCTTAATAACAAAAATGTATCTTATTTGTGTATCACTCGACTGTAGATCCTCAAATCATCTCTGAGTTAGTGAGGACACTAATAGCATCAAGTCTAATAGAGGTCTATTAGACGTGAAGATGCTGAGGGACATACTACAGCCAGAGGAGGGGAAGAAAGGTGAGCGGTAACTGCTACAGGACTCAGGTGAGGTTTTATTCATGTTCTACAAGGGTTAATTCTTCATAATCCTGGAGTTCCTTTCAATGGTTTTAGAAAGTCATGAAGGGGTTAAGATAGATGATGATCTGAAGTGGAGCAGGTAAGTAGAACACTTCTTTCTTTACTGGGTTTTTTTCCGTTCATTTTTCGACTCGGAAAGTTAGAGAAAAGGAATCACAGTAAAAATGTAAATCATGGTTATTTCACAAGCATGAAATCCTCTGACTCACTTCCCGAACCAATCTGATGTAAGCAGCACAGCTCTAACCAGGAAGTGTCTGCTTTGTCTCCGTGATGTTGAGCAATACTTCAAATGCAGCTTGATTCCATAAATCTGCAAACGTCAGACTAAAACCCATTCAGCCCAGAGAAGCAGGTCAGAGCTATAGAGGCAGCTGCCTATCAGCTAATGGACAGAACACAGAAAAACAAAACTTCTATTTCAAGTAATGTCCTTTTACAAGGCTTGTCAAATTGCAGGTTGAACACACTTGTTTGGATTCTTTGCAAGGAAGGCTTCTGAAAGGTTTTTTTTTTTTAATCTAGCGACAGTAGCTTCAAAGCTAAAAAAAAGGCCCTTGTGGTGGCCCCCTCTGTTCCGCCCCCTTCTTTCCCCTAGACTGCAAGGGTCAAATGCTCCTTTCATCTAGGGGTGAAGAAATAAGGAGCTATACTAGCCTTATTCCTTGCTCCCCCTGCTCAGGGATAAAAGCGGGCCTGCATTGTGCGTGACAGTGTCGGCATGCGTGGTGTAAGAAAGACTTCAGGAAACTGGGTGTAGAGCACAGCAGCTGCCTGCGGGACCCGAGAAATAAAGTGCTCATTTCTCTCCCCCCAGACTATACAAGCATTTGACCCTTAGAGAGTGTAGGAGAGGGGGCAATGCTGGGGGTAATTTTTTATTGTTAAAGAAAAATTCCAGCCATCAGCTAATACACAATTTAACACATGGTTTCTACCCGCCTCAGGATTTGTAACGTACATCCAATTTTATTTGCACACATTCTTCACAATGAACAGCCACCACCTGACAATCTTCCCGGTTCCATTTTGTGGCTTCCTTATGAACTCTCTGCCTTTTTATTCACTGCAAATTGGCATCATCACTGCTCTCCAGTGAGCTTACCTAGGAGGTATGGGTCTTACAAGAATGGCTGGAGAAAACTACAAACATTTTAA